AAGAGACATTTTACCAGAGAGGATATACAGATGGCAAATAGTGATGTTAGGCATCATTAACCATCAGGGAAATAAATGAAAACTATAGTGAGATATCCTTATGAAACTATCAAAATGGCTAAAATGAAAAACTGTAACAACACTAAATACTGGAGAGGATGCAGAGATCACCTACACATTGCTAGAGAGTGTGTTAAATGGGACAGCTAGTTTGGAAAATAATTTGAGTTTGGCAGTTTCTTAAACAAGCAATTAGTATATGACCCATCATTGCATTCCTCAGTATTTACCCGAAGAAATGAAAACTTATGTTCACCCAAAAACCTGTATACAAAACAGTATTAACAGTTTTATTCATAATACCTGAAACTGGAATTAGCCAAGATATCAAGTTGTGATAAGGCTTAGTTGCCCCACAGTATGTGGGATCTTTGTTCCCTGACCAGAGATCAAACCTGTGCCCCTTTCATTGGAAGATGGATTCTCAACCACTGGACCACCAGGGAAATCCCGATTTCCTCATTTTGATATTGTACTATAGTTATGGGAAAGCCCCTTTGTACATTTTTCTTTGCAGGAACCCCTTTGTACCTTGTTTTTGCAAGTTTATGTGAATTTCTTATTATTTCAAAATTAAAGGTTAGAAGAAAAACTGCATGGAGAAGGGACTTGCACTCAATAGGCAGAGCTGCAGAGTGTGGAGCTTGCCCTGGACACATGTAGCCTGGCATCAAGGTGACTGGATCATCAGCCTCCATGGGGACAAACAGTATGGCAGCAGATCGTTTGAGACTCACAGCTCTGTTTCTGACCCATGCAGTGGATGCCTAAGGAATAGGACCCTTTTGGGATTTGCATCAATAAATCAACAAGATGGTAAGCACCATGCTACCCAGGTAAGGACTGTGGGCTCCTACTGCTACAGTTCAGGACTGGGCCCCAGAATAAAGCCTGGTGATTGCAGTACATGAAGGCTTCTTCATGGAAGAATTTCCCATTTGGAGAAAATGTTTTAATTATGAAGTTGAAGGGTAAGGGAAGAGGCCCAAACTGACTGTAAGAGACCCAAATCACCCAAGTAGTCTTTTTCACTCTGCCTCTTCCCTTCTACTCTGACCTGCACAAAGCCAGGACTTGGCAACTAGGTGAGAAGAGATGGGAGGCTGGCATCACTAACTTGGTGTTTCTCTTTCCTCCAGGTTAATGATAATCATAGGTATGAAGTGATGACTTCTAAGTTGGTCCTGGAGGGGTGCACACATCTGGGAGTGGGAGATAGTCTAGAAGGGCACAAAGTATACAGAGAAGAAACCACTGAGCCATCTTAGGATGAGCATAGACACAAGGTATGGGGAACACATGGGGAGATTAGAAGATGGGAGTGCTTTGGAGACTGGGTGTATCCATCACATGACCACAAAATGAGAGTGAAAACCTGGGCTGGTAGGGAAAAAACACCTTAGACTCAGGGATTGGCATGGATGGGGGAACATTAGGCTCTCTTGGCTCTTGCCTGCAGGACACCTGACCTGTCCTGTCATCTCAGAAAGCTGTGGTAACCGTGTCCCAAGGCAACAAAATGCTGTTGCTGAGGTTGCAATAAACATATCAGCAGAATCTGGTTACCCCAGATGGGGCTTCCCAGGTGGCTCAGGGGTAAAGAATCTACCTGCAATGCAGGTGACTCAGGTTTGATCCTTGGGTCAGGAAGATCCCCTGGAGGAGGGCATGGCAACCCACTCTAGTACTCTTGCCTAGAGAATCCCAATGGACAGAGGAGCCTGGCAAGCGGCAGTCCATAGGATCGCACAGAGTCAGAAATGACTGAAGCAACTAAGCAGCAGTTACACCAAATCAGGCTATGGCAGGGGGCTGAGTTGACTGGGGTAGCCTAATCATTCTCTTCAGAAACACTTCTGCTTGCTTTTACAGAAAAATTTAAGGTTCCCTGGTGGCTCAGACAGTAAAGAGTCTGCCTGCAATGTGGGAGAACTGAGTTCAATCCTTGGGTTGGGAAGATCCCCTGGAGAAGGAAATGGCAACCCACTCCAGTATTCTTGCCTGGAAAAATCCCATGGATGAAGGAGCCTTACAGGCTACAGTCCACAGGATTGCAAAGAGTCGGACATGACTGATCAACTTCACTTTCACTTTTCACAGGAGCTGTTAATTCAGCTGAGTTTGTTTACCATAAGGCACAGAAAATTTGTTTATTTCTGTCATAAGAAATGATACACTTCTGCAACAGTTTATGCCCCAGTAGGGTTCCACTTCTGACATGGACATCAAGCCTATACTTGCCTGCCACACATGAACCAGTCTAAGCGGTGAAGCATGACTCGGGATGGACAATTGCATCACCCTGGACCTCCTGCTGGCCACCAAGATAAGGTGTGTGCAGTTGCCAACACCTCTTGCTGCATCTCCATTAAATGACACATTTCGCTGACTTGGCTCTGGATCAAGATCCTGGCTGCAATCTGGCTTCCAGGTGGGTGTGATCATTCTACTGGGAGCTGTAGCATATAATTCAAGATACATGCACCCCAATGTTCACAACAGCACTATTTACAATAGCCAAGTAACAGAAGTGACCTAAATGTCCATTGCCAGATGAATGCATAAAGAAGATGTGGTAGATAGATAGATAGATAGATAGATAGATAGATAGATAGATAATGGAATATTACTCAGCAAAAGAAAAGAATGTATGGACTTAGATTTATCATACTAACTGAAGTAAGACAAAGAATTATTATATGATATTGCTTATATATGGAATCTAAAATATGACACAAAAGAACTTATTAACAAAACAGACTCACAGATATAGAAAACAAACTTTTGGTCACTTAAGGGGAAATCGGGTGGGGAGCGATAAATTAGGAGTTTGGGATTAACATATTCACACTACTATATAAAAAATAGATAAGCAAGGTCCTACTGTATAGCACAGGGAAATATATTCAATGTCCTGTGATAAACCATAATGGAAAATACTATGAAAAGAATATATATATATATATATATGAAGCTAAATCACTTTGCTGTACACCAGAAACTAACACAACATTGTAAATCAACTATACTTCAATAAAACTTAAAAAAATATTAGGTAACAGGGGGCGGTCCTAAGATAGCAGAGGAATAGGATGGGGAGACCACTTTCTCCCCCACAAATTCATCGAAAGATCATTTGAACGCTGAGAAAATTCCACACAACAACTTCTGAATGCTGGCGGAGGACACCAGGCACCCAGAAAGACAGCCCATTCTCTTCAAAAGGACGTAGGACAAATACAAAAGAAAAAGTGAGACAAAAGAGTTAGGGACAGAGACCCATCCCAGGGAGGGAGTCATGAAAGAGAAGTTTCCAAACACCAGGAAACCCTCTCACTGGCAGGTCTGTGGGGAGTTTTGGAATCTCGGAGGGCAACATAACTGGGAGGAAAAAAAAAAAAGAACCCACAGATTACATGCCTAGCAACGACTCCCAGCAGAGAGGTATCCCAGACGTTCAAGTCCACCAGCAGCGAGCAGGGGCTGAACAGGGAGGCGCGGGATGCATGCTTAGGGTGAGGACCAGGCCTGAATACAATCTGAGGGAGCTAACATGAGATAGCAACCCAAACTGGGATAGCTAGAGAGAAAAAAAAGAGACAGAGAACTTTCGTGACAGCCTGGCCAGCTCACAGAACAAAGGATTGAGTGAACAGCAGAGGAGAGCTAGCCGGCTGCGGACTGGCCCCTCCCTCAACCAGAGGCAGAGAGGCAGGCGGGCAGCAGCCAGAGCTAGAAGGCAAGAGGCAATCTTGACTCCAGAGATGGCATCCTCCACCAAATTGTGAGTAGGCTTCCAGTTACTAACCAAGTCTATCTGGGACCCTGGACGGTTGACATCTGCCAGGAGGGTCACAATCAGAGATCAGCTCCCCAGAGAAGACACACAGCACACCTGAAATGGCACTCTCATGGCGCAACCAGGAAACCAAGGGGCTGGGACCGGGGAGGTGATAAGACGCACTGCCCAGCTGGGAGAGTGCACTCACCAAGCACCTGGTCGCCTGAGCTGCTTGGACCCAGGAAGAGCACAAGACGCAGGCTCAACCGTCTGTGCCTTTGTGGAGTACCCAAGAACCTGAACCTGAGCGGCTTAGACCTGGGAAGTACATGCAACCCAGGACCCATTTTAGACAGTGCCCCTGCAGAGCAACCTGGAGCCTGAGCAGTGTAGACCGGGAAAGCACACACACTATGAGCGGGAGCAAACCCAGTGTGGCCCAGACACTGTGAGCACTCCCCACACATGCCAGTGATACTTGCTTGCAGTGTTCCTCCCTCCCCACAGCACCACTGAACAAGTTAGCCTAAATAAGTGACCACGTTCGACCCCTTGTGTCAGGGCGGAAATTAGACACTGAAGAGACTTGCAAATAGAGGAAGCCAAAATAAACAAAGAGGGAACTGCTCTGAAAGTGACAGGTGCAACAGATTAAAACCCTGTAGTTAGCACTGACTACATTGGAAGGAGCCTATAGACCTTAAGAATAAGTATAAGCTGGAACAAGGAACTATCTGAAACTGAACTGACCCCACGCTGCCCTCAACAGCTCCAGAGAAATTCCTAGATATATTTTACTATTATCATTTTTAAATTAAATTAAAAAAATTTAAGTTCTTTATTACTCCTTTAATTTTCATTTTTATAACCTTGCAAAAAAAAGACCCTATTTTTAAAGTAAATTTCATATATATATATTTTTTAAATTTTTGTGATTTTTTTTTAATATTGTATTTCTGAGAGTTTAACCTTTACTCTAGATTTTTAATCTTTGCTTTTTGGTTTTTGTTATCAATTTTGTACCTTTAAGAATCCAATCTTCAGTACCCATTTTTACTTAGGAGTGTGATTACTGGCTTGATTGCTCTCTCACCCTTTTGACTCTCCTTTTTCTCCTGCAGGTCACCTCTATCTCCTCCCTCCCCCGTCTCTTCTCTACCCAACTCTGTGAATCTTTTTGGGTGTTCTGGGCTGTGGAGAACACTTAGGGAACTGATTACTGGTTAGATCTGTCTCTCTCCTTTTGACTCCCCTCTTCTGCTCCTGGTCACCTCTATCTTCTTCCTCCCTCTTCTCTTCTTGTAACTCCATGAACCTCTCTGAGTGTTCCAGACTGTGGAGAGCACATAGCGAATTGATTACTGGCTAGATTGCTCTCTCCCCTTTTGAATCCCCCTCTTCTCCTCCTGACCACCTCTATCTCCCTCCTCCCTCTTCTCTTCTCCATGTAACTCTGTGAACCTCTCTGGGTGTCCCTCACTGTGGAGAATCTTTTCACCATTAACCTAGATGTTTTATCATTGGTACTGTATGGATGGAGAACTCTTGAGACTATTGTAAGAATAAGATTGAAAGCCAGAGGCAAGAGGCTTAAATCCAAAACTTGAGAATACCAGAAAACTCCTGACTCCAGGGAACATTAATTGACAAGAGCTCATCCAAAAGCCTCCATACCTACACTGAAACCAAGCTCCACCAAAGAGCCAACAAGTTTCCGACCAAGACATACCAAGCTAATTCTCCAACAACACAGGAACATAACCCTGAGCATTAAAATACAGGTGGCCAAAAGTCACACCAAACCCATAGACAGCTCAAAACTCCCTAGTGGACACTTCATTGCACTCCAGAGAGAAGAAATCCAGCTCCACCCACCAGAACACCGATGCAAGCTTCCCTAACCAGGAAACCTTGACAAGCCACTCGTCCAACCCCACCCACAGCGAGGAACCTCCACAATAAAGAGGAATCACAAACTACCAGCATATAGAAAGGCCACCCCAAACACAGCAATTTAAACAAGATGAAAAGGCAGAGAAATATCCAGCAGGTAAAGGAACATGATAAATGCCCACCAAACCAAACAAAAGAGGAGGGGATAGGGAGTCTACCTGAAAAAAAAATCAGAATAATGATAGTAAAAATGAACCAAAATCTTGAAAACAAAATGGAGTTACAGATAAATAGCCTGGAGGCAAGGATTGAGAAGATGCAAGAAATGTTTAATAAGGACCTAGAAAAAATAAAAAAGAGTCAATCAATAATGAATCATGCAATAAATGAGATCAAAAACACTCTGAGGCAGAAGATAGGATAAGTCAGGCAGAAGATAGAATGGTGCAAATAAACGAAGCAGAGAGGAAAAAGAAAAAAGAATTAAAAGAAATGAGGACAACCTCAGAGACCTCTGGGACAATGTCAAATGCCCCAACATTTTAATCATAGGAGTCCCAGAAGAAGAAGAGAAAAAGAAAGGCCATGAGAAAATACTTGAGGAGATAATAGTTGAAAACTTCCCTAAAATGGGGAAGGAAATAGCCACCCAAGTCCAAGAAACCCAGAGAGTCCCAAACAGGATAAACCCAAGGCAAAACACCCCAAGACACATATTAAACAAATTAACAAAGATCAAACACAAAGAACAAATATTAAAAGCAGCAAGGGAAAAACAACAAATAAGACACAAGGGGATTCCCATAAGGATAACAGCTGATCTATCAATAGAAACCCTTAAGGCCAGAAGGGAATGGCAGGACATACTTAAAGTGATGAAAGAGAAAAACCTACAACCCAGATTACTTTACCCAGCAAGGATCTCATTCAAATATGAAGGAGAATTCAAAAGCTTTACAGACAAGCAAAAGTTGAGAGAATTCAGCCCCACCAAACCAGCTCTCCAACAAATGCTAAAGGATCTTCTCTAGACAGGAAACACAGAAAAGGTTTATAAACTCTAACCCAAAACAATAAAATAAATGACAATAGGATCATATTTATCAATAATTACCCTAAGTGTAAATGGATTGAATGCCCAAACCAAAAGACAAAGACTGGCTGAATGGATACAAAAACAAGACCCCTGTATATGCTGTCTACAAGAGACCCACCTCAAAACAAGGGATACATACAGACTGAAAGTGAAGGGCTGGAAAAAGATATTTCACACAAATGGTGACCAAAAGAAAGCAGGAGTAGCAATACTCATATCAGATAAAATAGATTTTGAAATAAAGGCCAGGAAAAGAGACAAAGGATGACACTACATAATGATCAAAGGATCAATCCAAGAAGAAGATATAATAATTATAAGTATATATGCACCCAACATAGGAGCACCGCAATATGTAAGACAAATGCTAACAAGTATGAAAGGGGAAATTAACAGTAACACACTAAGACTGGGAGACGTTAATACCCCACTCACACCTATGGATAGGTCAGCTAAACAGAAAATTAGCAAGGAAACACAAACTTTAAATGATACAATGGACCAGTTAGACCTAATTGATACCTATAGGACATTTCACCCCTAAACAATGAATTTCACTGTTTTCTCAAGTGCACACAGAAACTTCTCCAGGATAGATCACATCCTCGGCCATAAATCTAGCCTTGGCAAATTCAAAAAACTGAAATCATTTCAAGCATCTTTTCTGATCACAATGTGGTAAGATTAGATGTCAACTACAGGAAAAAAACTATTAAAAATACAAACATATGGAAGCTAAACAACACACTGCTGAATAACCAACAAATCACAGAAGAAATTAAAAAAGAAATAAAAATGAATGAAAATGAAAACACAACAACCCCAAACCTATGGGATTCAGTAAAATCAGTGCTAAGGGGAAGGTTCATAGCAATACAGGCTTACCTCAAGAAACAAGAGAAAAATCATATAAATAACCTACACCTAAAGCAACTACAAAAAGAAGAAATGAAGAACTCCAGGGTTAGTAGAAGGAAAGAAATCATAAAAATTAGGGCAGAAATAAATTAAAAAGAAACAAAGGAGACCATAGCAAAAATCAACAAAGGTAAAAGCTGGTTTGTTGAGAAGATAAATAAAATAGACAAACCATTTGCCAGACTCGTCAAGAAAAAAGGGAGAAGAATCAAATCAACAAAATTAGAAACAAAAATGGAGAAATCACAACAGACAACACAGAAATACAAAGGATCATAAGAGACTACTATCAGCAACTATATGCCAATAAAATGGACAACTTGGAAGAAATGGACAAATTCTTAGAAAAGTATAACTTTCCAAAACTGAACCAGGAAGAAATAGAAAATCTTAACAGACCTATCACAAGCACAGAAATCAAAACTGTAATCAGAAATCTTCCAGCAAACAAAAGCCCAGGACCACATGGCTTCACAGCTGAATTCTACCAAAAATTTAGAGAAGAGCTAATACCTATCCTACTCAAAATCTTCCAGAAAATTGCATAGGAAGGTAAACTTCCAAACTCATTTATGAGGCCACAATCACCCTAATACCAAAACCAGACAAAGATGCCACAAAAAAAGAAAACTACAGAACAATATCACTGATGAACATAGATGCAAAAATCCTTAAGAAAATTCTAGCAAACAGAATCCAACAACATATTAAAAAGATCACAAGAATGCTGTGGTACATATACACAATGGAATATTACTCAGCTATTAAAAATAATGCATTTGAATCAGTTCTAATGAGGTGGATGAAACCAGAGCCTATTATACAGAGTGAAGTAAGTCAGAAAGAAAAACACCAATACAGTATACTAACACATATATATGGAATTTGGAAAGATGGTAACAATGACCCTATATGCAAGACAGCAAAAGAGACACAGATGTATAGAACAGTCTTTTGGACTCTGTGGGAGAAGGCGAGGGTGGGATGATTTGAGAGGATAGCATTGAATCATGAATATTATCATATGTGAAATAGATCGCCAGTCCAGGTTTGATATATGAGACAGGGTGCTCAGGGCTGATGCACCATGGATAGAGGAGACTGGTGGGCTACAGTCCATGGGGTTGCAAAGAGTCAGACATGACTTAACGACTAAACAACAACAACCACTTTTCATATCACACTTGAATTATTAATTTTTCAGAGAATTTGAATGCAAAAAGTAACAATCAATATAATTTAAATGTCATCTCACAATTAAGAAAGTATCTCACAAGTCTGTTCAGTTGCAGGTTTTTATGTTCTATTACATTGCTAAGAAACAGATATCCTTTCTGAATCACCCTTGTGATTCAGGGAATCACAAACTATTCCCTGGCCATTTCACACTCTTTGTTGGATTCATTAGAATTTTCTAGGTGGTAAAAAGAAAGTTTTTAATTTTTTAAATTACTATGGACTTAAAAGAGTAGCAAGTTTCTACACTGTATTTCTGAAAAAGTATCTGGGAATAACAATATAACAATAACAAAAGCTGAAAATTATTTTCAAGGACTAAAGAAAACAAATGCATTGTCTTGCATGCTACATGTTATCAGTTAAAATAGCCAACTGTGATGAAATATCTGAGGGAAAAAGTAGAGACTTTTACAAATGTAGAAGAAAATGTTACTTCTCTGGGTCTAAGTACAGAGTGCCAAGGACAAGGAGAAATATGTCAGAACAAGCAGAAAAATCGGGTCACATGCCTTGAGAATCAAAACCTCTTATTTATTCTCACCAAGAGAATTACTGTGAATAACTAGGTGAGTTTGGTACCAGCATAAGGAACAGAAAAGGAATGAGAAAAGCAGGAAGCAAATTCGAATAGCCAGGAGAGTGGCTTTGACCATGAGCATGGTGTCAGAATTTCAGGAATGACAGAAAAAGCAAGTAGACAGATGGCAGAGACACGCTGAAGACATAAGGAAGAGAGTTTCAAATATGTTATCATTGCTTTTGAACACCCAGTGCCCATAACTTTCTGTGAGGAAAGCTCTGCTAACTTTTAAGACTAATGAAGACTGGTTGTCTTGAATTGGGAAATATGGGAGGTTTAAACTGGAAAAGCCTAAGGTTTCTTGATTAAAACAAATCTATGATGGGGCATTCAAACCCAAAACAGCATTTTTAAAAATCGAAGTATTGATGGTTTGCAATATTGAGTTAGTCTCACGTGCACAGCAAAGTGATTCAGTTATGTATTTTTTCAGGTTACTTTCCATTACAGCCTATTACAAGATATTGACTGTAGTTCCCTGTGCATGTGCGTGCTAAGTCACTTCAGTTGTTTCCGATTCTTTGCAACCCTATGGACTGTAACCCGCCAGGCTCCTTTGTCCATGGGATTCTCCAGCAAGAATAC